GCCGGTGACCACTGCCACAACCGAAATAGTGTGTGTGTGGTTTGTACGCCTCTTCTTCGTTGATTTGGAATAAGGGATTTTGGCCAACTCCCCTAGGTGGTCCACCAAACCGGTTATAGCTCCGGATATCGGCTTTTCGTCCTCTCACTTTGGTGAAAAAGCATCTCCGCCATACGAAGGCAGTGATTTGGGGTTTCTTAGCATAGGCCATTCGAGTCGCTTCTGTTGCATATCAATTGATATCTACTCAGATCGATCAACCTCACGCACTGCCTATGACGATACTGCCGGCCGACATAGGGCCGATTTNNNNTTGGTGAATATACGCTTGACTGTGATCGATCATAATAAATCTATCCTACCCTGCGTACTGTTGCTCTACTTTGTTAGTAGGCTACGGGTCCGAGACTACACTTTGTCAAATCTAAACGTTACAGCTTCGTCTTATGAGGTCATTTAGCGAGGTGCAAGGGAAGCGCGCCCAGCCGCGACCCTGGACACCCACCAGCGACCATACTGAGGATTTTGGAAGCACGGTTTTTAGCAAAATGACTGTGAATAAACTGTGCGTACCCACGTTGCTGATCCCGCCTACCAATGTACCTACAGACAGAAACAGTTTTCAAAATGCCTTTCGTTGGTCTACCTTACGGGCTTATTGGACAAACACCAAAATCACTAATATGGGATTTGCACATTGAGCAGGGGAGAGCACGGTGACCGCATGCTTTATGTGAATCTTATCACGAATGGTAACTGCCCCTCGCAGTGATGTTTCATCCCATCCATATCCCCGCGATGACTGGGACACAGTCCTTGTTTGTTTTAGAAACTTGAAACATTGAGTCCCCTTATTTGTTTTATGATTCACAAAACAAAATATGATTCTAATATGCCAAATGCAAGTTTCATTCGTAATAAATAAGAGTAGTGTTTGTGAACTTTAGCTACTCTTAAAATTTCTTCTGCTTTTATTCAAACTGAAGAGACTGGACGTGAGTTGAAAGCTTGTGTACACGGTACTCATGCTATTGTTCAGTTTATTCTCAATTTGTATTGCGATAGATGACCACAATTTCATTTACGTCGCTTCGGAAACGCTTCATGACAGTTTTCCTCGTACATTTTTTGCTCAAATCTCAGTGACTTCAATGAATCGATGTAAGATGAGCATAATCGATAAGAACGTTGAACAGACGCGCGATCAATGCCTGGCGAGTTCGAATGCACATCACGTTTTTTTCAAATTTAGTTCAAAACAACACTGAAAGGTGATTTCCTCACACAAAAATTATGATTCCAGGGCCCGGGAGTGAGTTTCATTTAACACCACTTCATTACCTACAATCAAAGTTTAATAACCCCTTAACTCATGTAATCGTCTCTATGTTACAATTCTCTCAAGGTCGAATTTGAATGTGCTTTACTTTTTATGATTCACACAGCTTCGTGTTTTGCATCAAATACAATCAATGTCAAACAACCGGTAATCAATGTTGACTCAACAGTTAGTTCAAAATGTCGATTTGAAAGTAAGGTTGATCTCAATTCCAGCTTTGATCAATCAATCAAAGACGAGTTGTTAAACTCGGTAAATTAAATTGAGACATATTTTACACACGACTGATTAATGACGCAATGAAAATGAACTAAAATGTTGGTTTCATCTGTCCTGGATTCAACCAGCTGTACCTTCAAACCTTCAAGCTTGTTGTCGAAACATGTAGTTTGGCAAAATACATTTTACACAAAACATGCTAACAGATCGTTTCTTTAGTTAGTCAATGACAAAGCGAATATTTCAAAAGAGTAACTAAATTTATCTCTTTAATTCGTTGATTTTCAGTACCTGGATGTAAGTTGTACATTGATCAAAGTCTTCTAT